GCTGCCGTGGCGCTGGGCTCTGCCCAATTCCAAGATGTCCTCCGTCCAGCGACAGCAGCCACGGGACCCAGTCCCTAGTACTCACCAGGACTCAATGCAGATCTTCCTCTTGGATTCACTGTATACTGCGCTGCGTGTCTTCACTGCATTCCCAGCACAGCGCGGATCAGTCAGAAAACTGCGTGCTGTCCGGCTTTGAGCCCAAGAGATTAACGCAGTCTCCTCTGGCACGTCCAGGTGGCTTTGGCTGCTTCTCCGGGCCCCAGGTCTCAATTTCCAGCAGTTGCCGAGAGCCAATGTAGCTTTTCCCCTTGGATCCACTGCTCACTGTGCTGCATCCTCCCATTAAGGGGCCGGGATTTACCAACTCATCGGCAGCCATGGTCCTAGCGCAACCTTGGATGTCCTGTCATGCCTAGTACACCGTGGAACAGGGTCAGTGAGCACATAGGGCTTCAGCTCTCCACCCGCGCTGTTCCTTCCTCTTCCTAGTTTTATTTTTCCCTTTGGTTACTGCCTTGGTTAATAAGAATTGTTATCCATTCGTCTTGCCCTCTCCATGTTGTCATATTCTAGCATCTGATCTGATTTCTTCACAGAGACTCTGCACCCAGCCCCCTAGCAAGCTGCCATTTTTTCAGATTCCAGATTTTTCTAGAGATCATCTGCCTCTAATGGCCACACAAAGACATTAACCTGGTTGTGGCCTGGTCGCATCTTTTTGAAGATTCTTTTAAGAGGCAGGGGTTTATTGTTGACTGCTTCTGCTTGTTGTTTATGCTGTTATTGTTTGTTTAGTTTTTTGACATAGGATTTTTTTTGACCAGGGATTGAACTCATGACCTCATGCTTGCCATTCAGGCACTTACACCGCTGAGCTAAATCCCAGCTTGACACAGAATTTTGCTGTGTCATTCAAGATGGCCTTGAACTCACTATACAGTCCAGATTGTCCTTAAATTTGGGATGATCCTCCTGCCTTAGCCTCCTTAGTGCTAGGATTACAGATGTGCACCACCACCTGTGGCCAGTCTGTTTTTGTCTTGTTCTTAAATGTATCCAAGGATAAAACTGAAGGTTCACAGAGAAACAAAGTAATCCCAGCTCTTTTACTTCATTAAGAGTGTGTCCTTGGTCAAGTTGCTAACCTCACTCTGTGTGATCAATAAGGAGTGTGAAGGGTGTGTGTGTGTGTGTGTGTGTGTTTGTGTGTGTGTGTGTGTGTGTTAGAGTTTGACAGACAGTAAATTAAATAAATATGAGTTGTGATGTTAAGTAAAATATGCTTGGCATGTGAGATGGGCATATGATGTTATTTCCTTTTAACTTTGGTTTTTGAGGGATTGTTTTGCTTTGCTTTGCTGTGTGTGTTGTGTTGTTTTGTTTGTTTTGCAGCACAGTCTTTGCACTGAGCTGTATGCCTTTTTTTTTTTTTTTTTTTTTTTTGGTGACAGATCATCTTCAGTCACTAATTTGCACAAGCTGGGCTCAAACTTGTGATCCTCTTCCCCCAGCCTCAAGGTGCTTGAATAGCATGGATGCATCACCAGAACCAATATGAGTTCCCTTTCTTTTTTGAACTTTTGTTTTATTTCAACCTGGTGTGGAAATTGAGATTTGTCTATTGCAGAATCATTCATCCAACTTTGTTTCATTATATTGGAGTTACACAAATACATCTTTTCACTCAGGCTTTGTGAATGGTGTACTACAGTATTTCACAGAAGTTAAGTGTTGCTATAATTTTATATTTCTGTTACAGTTTGCTTTTCTTATTCACATTTGCTCCCCAGTTCCTATCCTTTTATCAATAATAATCAAACTAACATCTAATATGGAAATAACTCTCCCTTCCCTATCTCCATTTTTCAAATCAGAAAGTCATACAGCTACACTGAGTTTTAGGAATCTTCTTTTTGTGTCCTTATTTTATAAATGCAGAAACAGGTTCATTGAAGTTACCTGCTTCCTATACTGTGTATCTTGTAAATCAAAAACAGAATTCAGTCTCAGATGCCTTAACATGTTCATGATAAGGCCATATTTCATATCTCTGACAGCAGCTTGTGAATGTCCTTTTGGGAGGCTTGTACCTACTAGTGGTACAAATGAATCTAATCACTATTCAGTCTTTTTACTAAAAAATTAATTTAAAAACCGCCCAAAGGTACAGTTATTCATGTACCATCAGTGACTTGAGCATGCAAGAACATGTTAATTCCCACTATGTTCTCCACTGTGTAAAGGAGTAAAAAATGTTTTTTTAGTGTTTTTATGCAAAGATCAGCTTTGTTTCCCCCAAAGTGTATTATGTTAAGTTCATTCTTTTAGTGCTGTATAAGGCAGTACGGCTCCTTTAGATCATTCTATGTATGACCTCTTCAGAGTGAGAAACCTTGATGTAAAGAAACCTATCAGGATGTGTTTCCCCACATTTGCCAATCTGGGGAAAACTTTAGAAAATGCTGATCAGGGTTTCGTTTTGTTTTGATGGATGGGGAGGGGAGAAAATGTTGGCTTACAATTTCCAAAAAAAAAAAAAAAATTCTCAGTGTTGTTCATTCTCTATTATACTCAACATTTTTCCCCCTCAGTTGGGTCTGCTGCAATCAATGCAGCGTATTTTAAGAAAGTCGTATCATCTGATTATGATTGGTTGTGTTAGTGACTAACAGAATTTGCTTCCTAGAATGGTGATCCCATAAAAAGGCTTCATCAGCTTTCTGGGGCTATTTACTTCCATCTGCTGGGCCTCTAATCCTGGAAGCTCCTGTTTTCTTCCCTTTTCTGCCCTCTCTTTCAAAGATTGGATTTCATTCTTTTATCTGTAAGAGACAGAGCTGACTTACCCGGAAAGAAAACAGTCTCTGGAGAGATTAGACTGCAGTTAATTCTCATTTTCAGATCTAAAGGCAGCAGATTAGATTAAGAAATAAATAACAGTTCTGTACACCATTTGGCATAGATTTTTTTATTACCTGAGAAATAACAAATTATTCCCTGGGAATTTTGAGACAGCTTTATACTGGAATTCCTCAGTCAGCGTTAGCCCCAGGATTTGGAACTGTGAGCACAGAGGAGCCTTAAGAGTTATATCTGATCCAGAACCCTTGTATGCCTTCCATTTCTTTCCAAGGCCTATTTATTTTGATATTCAAATCATTTGGGAGATATAAAATCACCCAAACTACTTCTGAAGGGGGTTTCTGTCAATAAGTAGCTACCAAGAGACTGTCCCTAAATTCTGAAGTTACTTTTATTTCAGGGCATATCCCTTGCATGAAACCTCACTGTCATGGGGAATAGCCAAGTTATGTGTAGCTCAGCCTGTGCCGTTTCTGGTTTTTGTTACATGCTCTTGTTTCTCCTAGAGTATCTAATTATGTTCACCCTAAAGTAAAGCTTTTTTAAAAGGCATTTTTGATGTGGTTTAAATCTCAAAAAGGCCAGTGTAATAGTGTCTTGTGGCCTTACAAATCATGTAAAGTTCTCATTTGGAAAGTGTTTCTCATGTGTATGTACATGTGTGTTGAAATAGAAGTGTTAAGCTCTGTCTACTTCCGAGGAGGACCCTCCTGATTTTCCTTCACCTGGAAACAAGCTTCTGTTCTGCCTTGTTGTGTTTCAGTGTACTTTGTGCTTCAGCATACTTTATATTAGTGAGTCACTGCAACCAAAAGAAATTTAAAAAGCAAAATAAAAAAGCAATATGGAACTTTAAGAATGAGCAAAGGAAATGAGAAGAAGCCTACCATAGGAGCAACAGAAAGCAGCTGTGTCTTTAGAAAACACTGGACCCATATTTTTTATATCCACAGTTAGTCCCAGATACAAAACTTAGCTCTTCCCCACCCCAGCGGCACCAACCTTACTGGGGATTGGCCCCAGGGTCTCAACACTGAGCCTCATCTCCTGCTCAAGGTTTTGTTTTTAACATTCACAAAATAGCATATTAAACCCATTAGCTTCTTTGCTGTGTAATTCTTACAGAATGCATTTTCATATTTCTGTAACTGTCCATATCTGTTCAAGATTCCAAGAATAAACACTAAAATAAAATTTAAAGCTGTTTTGTTCTCTTAGGCAAGTAGATAAGATTTAGTAGGAAATTTGCTTATGTAAGCATATAATTCAGAGGTACTGTTACTTTACATAGTACAGTACTTATAAAGTGTCTAGTTAGTGGAAATTTTTCAGTCCTATTTTGACAGCTATAAACAGATATTTATATGCTTACGTAAATAAATTTCCATGATTATTTGCACACACACATGCGGAGAAAGGCATAATAAATATTAATAGTAATTTTTCTTAAATGTGAATTCCTAAGGTTATACTTATATTAGCAATATGGATGAAAATAAATTCCAAGAATCTTAACATAGCTCTTTTTTTCCAGTGGGTTTTTCATGGTTATGTGTGTATTTCTGCCTTTTATATGTTAAAAACACTTCATCTTTCATTTTAAAGCTAGATTAAGCTGCCTTCTGGTTGGTTTCCTAACAAGTCCCATAATGGATTTTAAATTGCATGTGTTTTTGTTTTTGAACATTTTCCTTAAACCAACTGTCCCTTTAGCCAGACAAATTTATATGTTCTTAGTATGCATAGTACTCGTATCAACCTCTTTTAGTGTTTGTATGTTGCTTACAATATGATAATGACTAATGATTGTCTGCAAGGTTTTTCACTGAAGCTTTTTTTTTTAGTCTAAATATCTTTCCCTGTACTTTGAAGTACTCCTCCTATGACTATATGTTTACATTTGATGCATACTATCTTAGAAAGTATATAATTGATACACTTATGACTCAGAATTACAGCTAACAGATTTGTAATGCAGAATTAAAAATTTTATGTTTTCAAAAAATGTTACATAGGAAATCATTAGCGTATCTATGGTATTTGCAAATAAAAATGTTTTTCAGTAGCTTGCTTAAAAAACTGATTTTAGATACATTTGAAAAAATAAGTAAAATTATTTTTTGTTTCATATCAAGAAATGGATGAAAAGAGGCTGCTGGATCCAGGGTTGAAGGCTCATAAAGGTCTCTGGGATCATATTCTGAAGAGCCAGCAGATGGAATGCCTGAGTGACTGAAGAAAATGGGTGCTAATGCATCTAACTATCCTCATTCATGTTCCCCAAGGGTAGGGGGAAACTCACAGGCCCAACAGACTTTTATAGGTAAACTTTCAGTTTTTCTAACTTTGATTTCTTTTGCGACTATAAATAGAATTGTTTTCAGTGGTCTCTGGATAAAAAGAATTAAATATGAAAAAGTTATAGATAATTCTGTAGGATCTATCCCCTCACAAATGAAAATCTGATTTGTATGAGTTTTGTTTAAACAAACTGCTTATATAACACAATTGACCTTTTCTTTAGTGACTTTAACCATATTTGCAAATTAATTACCTAGCAAATTGGCTGTCTCCATTTGTGTGTCCTGGTCCTCCATGGATTTTACCCCTACAAATGCATCCTTGCCCTAGTTGAAAAGATAAAGCATTTCCCAATTATATGCAAGCAGTATTCCTAATTTACAAATCTGCTTACCTCTCTTTAAAATATAATTAGGATTTTTGATTATCAACTAGACATGGTGGTCCATGCCTGTAATGCTAGGTACTTAGGAGATTGAGGCAGGAAGATTATAAATTTGAAGCACCCAACCTGGGTAGTTCAGCAAGATTCTCTCAAAAAAAAAAAAAAAAGAGGACTGGGATATAACTCAGTGACAGCTCACCTCTGGGTTTGATCCCCAGTAGTTAAGAAAAAAAAGAAAGAAAGAAAATTCTGTCCTCAGTCTTTGTCAGGGAACAAACGGAATTTTTAGAAATTCAGATTAATTTGCTATGGTTGTTCCTATTTCTTGTTTTAAAATGTTATTTGAAATTCTTAAGTTCCATTATAAAAACAAAAGTCAGTCTCATTTGGTCCAAGATTATCTGTTTGCAAAAAATTTTACCATGAAAAATGTTAATGTTAAAAATGAATGTTAAAGAAAAAATTTCATTTGTTTAATTTTGTTTTTAGGGACATCATCCTATTCTCAGCAAGGCTATGGTTGTGAATCAAAATTATATAGCCTTGACCATGGGCACGAAAAACCACAAGACAAAAAAAAGAGAACCTCTGGCCTTGCCACCCTCAAAAAGAAATTTATTAAGCGTCGAAAATCTAATCGGTCTGCTGATCATGCCAAGCAGATGCGAGAACTCCTCTCTGGATGGGACGTTAGAGATGTCAATGCGTTAGTGGAGGAATATGAGGGAACTTCAGCCTTAAAGGAGCTTTCTCTACAAGCCAGTTTGGCTAGACCAGAAGCCCGGACATTGCAGAAAGATATGGCTGATCTTTATGAGTATAAGTATTGTACTGATGTAGACTTAATATTTCAAGAAACTTGTTTTCCTGTTCATCGTGCCATTTTGGCAGCAAGGTGTCCATTTTTTAAAACACTGCTTGCTTCCTCGCCTGAATATGGGGCAGAGATAATAATGGACATCAATACAGCTGGTATTGATATGCCCATGTTTTCTGCTCTGTTACACTACCTTTATACAGGAGAGTTTGGAATGGAGGACTCAAGATTTCAAAATGTTGACATCCTTGTTCAACTTAGTGAAGAATTCGGAACACCAAACTCCCTTGATGTAGATATGCGTGGACTCTTTGATTATATGTGTTATTATGATGTCATCCTAAGTTTTTCTTCAGACTCTGAACTGGTTGAAGCTTTTGGGGGAAATCAGAACTGTTTAGATGAAGAGCTGAAAGCCCACAAGGCTATTATTTCTGCACGGTCTCCATTTTTTCGAAATTTATTACAAAGGAGGATACGGACTGGTGAAGAAATCACAGACCGAACCTTGAGAACTCCCACAAGAATTATTTTAGATGAATCCATTATACCAAAAAAATATGCAAAGGTGATACTGCACTGTATGTATACTGACATGGTAGACCTCTCTGTTTTACACTGTAGCCCCTCTGTGGGGAGTCTCAGTGAAGTTCAGGCTCTTGTCGCAGGGAAGCCAAGCATGACTAGGGCAGAAGAAGCCATGGAACTTTACCATATAGCACTGTTCTTGGAATTTAACATGCTTGCACAAGGTATGAAATTCTGATTTTTATATTTATTTGTAAAATTGCAAATTAGTCTTCCACTTTGAAAACAGTTTGTTCTATAATTTCAGTGTTTGGTATATGCAAGGTCAGTTTTTTTTTGAGCCTACAATTATGATATTTGAAATAAATGAAGGGTCAGTATTAATGTGGATCTACTCTTAATATTAAAATCACGCATTCAGTTCTAGTGACTAAGCATCAAATGAGACTTGAGGCTTTTTCGTAATTTAAAATAATAGTTATGAGGTATATAGTTACCCAACTACATTCTCACTCAAGCTTTGAAACTAGTCAAGTTTTCCTGATTGCAAGGGTAGATTTTCATATTTATATTCAATGGTTTAATGATGTTTAAATGTTTAGAATTAGAATAAATTTATTATAAAAAATAAGATAACCATATTTATATATAAATTCATTTGAATGAGAGAGTTGAGTAGGGCTTCTCATTTAAATTTTAAAATGTTGTATCTTTTAGAGTTGTATATCAAACAGTAGCCTACAGTGTGTAAACCATGGTGTAAGATTCACGTGCCTTATTAAGTTACTTTCAACTTAATAATTTAAATTATGCTTTGTGATAAGAAAATGAATATATGAGAGGTACATTTAAAAAGTAAATATCTGTTGGTAACTACTAGAATCTTAATATTTCAAAGCTGGAAAGAGACCTTTCATGAGAAAGCAAAGGAATTCGCTGTCCTACACAAAGGGAGAACACATACTTATCTTTCTATGGCTATATATTAAAGGAAGCAAGTTATACAAACTGAGATTACTTTACAAATTTAATTAAATTATTGTATATAACTAAAAGAATTTTAGAAGCTGCCACTTAGGAGAGAATGTTATCAGCTGTCATAACTTTCTATGACAACCCATGCTGTTTTTCCCAGATGCAGCATGTACTTTCTTTGTTCTTTCCCTTTCTCTGTTTACTTGGTCTAAGCTCACTCTGCAGAGCCAGTTTCCCTCTCTCCATTTTTGCTTTCCTGAATAAACTTTGCAACTGCTTTTAAAAAAAAGAGAGAGAGAATATTGTTAGATATGAATCAAGCCAAGCACAAGGGCACATGCTGCAAGGCTGTGGCAGCAGGACTACAAGTTTGAGGCCTGTGTGGGCAACTTAATTATCTCAAAGTAAAATAAAAAATCCAAGCGTCATGGCACATGCCTGTAATCCTGGCATTTAGAAGGCTGAGGCAAGAGGATCATTTCAAGTTCAAGACCAGCTTGGGTTACAAAATGAGTTCAAGACCAGCCTGAACTGCATAGTGAGACCTGTCACAAAAAAGTCAAAAATAAAATAAAATAGGACTGAGGATATAGCTCAGTGACAGTGCTATTCTTTAGCATGCTAGAGGACCCAGGATCAGTCTCATCACCACAAAATAAGTAAGAATCACCATGTAATAAAAGGCTATATAGATGTCAGACCGTAGGAAAATATGTCATCAAAAATAACCTAGCAGTTTGAACTGCTGTTCTTCTGTAAAATCAAATTTGTCAGGAAAGGCTTCTATAGAAAAATTTGAATCTGCAGCATTACCAAGAAGATAACAACAGTCTTTATTTTCTGTAATTGTTTTTTAGTTTTTAATATGCTTAAACAATTAAAAATAATGTAATGTTTCCATTTAACTCAGCAGTTCGCCTTCTTGGTATCTTCCCAAAAGAGCAAAAGACATCATGTTACAATAATGTATATGTTTATAGCAGCATAAGTGTTTGGTATGTGTAAGGTCACATACCAAACTAGCTAAATCTTGGATGTGTCCTGTATGTCCATCAACAAATGAGTGGATAAAGAAAATGTGGTGTTTACGCATAATGGATAGTACTCTGCCATTAAGAAGGATAAATTGTAGTCATTTGTAGGAAAATGAATGTGCCATAAGGCCATATGTTAAATGAAATAAATCAGACACTCAAACTTAAATATTACATGGTTTTTCTCATATGAGAAAACCAAAATAACAAGAGAAAAAAGTAAAAGAGAGATCTTGCAGAAAAGTAAAGGAGACCAAGGGGACCAAGAGGAGAGAGGGAAAAGGGAGGAGAAAGGAACGGAAAAAATAACTGATATGTGTTTATTATACCAGCTTTCCACAGTGAATGTACTCATTATGTCCCACAAACATGTACTAGTAAAAATAAATATTTTAAGTCGGGGATGATGGTGCATGCCTGTAATCCCAGCACTCGGGAGGCTGGGGAGGATCATTGTGAGTTCAAGACCAGCCTAAACTGCATAGCAAGACTCTGTCTCAAAAGACCAAAAAAAAAAAGATTAAAAAAATAACCAAAATGTATCATATATACTTTGCAATTTTAAAAAATGAGAATATATTCCTTAATGTAATGTTGTAAAGTTTTGAATGAAAGTAAAACTGAGGCAGCTCTTGGGTCTTTGACAGTACTTGACTACTTCTGTCATGATCTTTTATCTTAAGGCAGCTGAGAGAGATTGAAATTTAGCTAGAAATTGTATTTTAAAGTTATAAAACAATACTCCTTGCATTATCTTAGTCTGGTTACTTAAAAAAACTGTACATGCTTCTGTCTTTCATTTTATGATTTAAAATATAGTTTTGCCCATTTGGTGGAGGGGGGAGGAGGGCTGTGTGTTAGACATACGTTTCTCCCATACCTATGACATTCATGTTAGCACACTGTAACTTCAGCATAACTTTTACCTCACTTCCATAGGAAGAAGACTATTTGGGTACTTGGGAAAGGATTTCATACCGTAAAGCTAAAGAGCACAGATTGTGGAACCAGACTTAAATGGGTTTGAATCCTATCATGTTAACTAGTTAGACTTTAACCAGTCATGTAGCCCCTGTGAGTCCGTTTTCTCATTTGTAAAATAAGAATGTTAACGCCTGTAAAGTAGGATTAAGAAGATTTAAAAAAATAATGTGTGTCAGTTTTTTGCTGTGCAGTTACTGAGTTAAGATTTCTTACAGTTTTATTCCGCAGAGTAGTTCTGTATATCGGTTGTCCTTGCATTTACCAAACAGTTGTTAAGGTACTTGTCACTGTCCAGTCAGCTCGTCTCAACAGGAGTTCTGCAGTGTAATTACGCCCTTAGTTAAGTGTAATTGAAGCATCTTTCTCCTGCATCTATTATAGTACTAGTTATATATCATCTTGGAAAGAATCGAGTAGTCATTTTTGTGTTCTTTAATTCGAGTGAAAATTCCAGTTCAGGACTATATTGTTGAGCAGCTTGAGGGTACGAGCACAGACTATATTGTTCTTTTTTTTTTTTTTCTTTTTAAGACAGGGTCTCACCATGCAGTTCAGGTTGGCCTTAAGCTCACTTTGTAGCCCAGACTGGTCTTGAACACACAACAGTCCTCCTGCTTCAGCCTCCCAAGTGCTGGATTACAGACATGCACCACCATACTTGGCAGTATTGGTCTTATTATTGTGTCCCCAATGCTGAGGTGATAGGTGTTTAGAATCAGCCAATGATACTCTTTTTTTTTTTTTTTTTTTTTGTCTTTTTTCCTTTTTATCACTACTGCCTGCTTGCAAGGCAGGCGTTTATGCCGCTGAGCTAAATCTCCAGACCCGACCAATGATACCTTTTATTCCAAATTATATTTAACTAAAAATTAAGACCTAGTACTCTGTACAAATAGTAACCAAAACAGCAAGAATGGCTATTTCAGTGTCAAATAAAATAGACTAAAAATGTATAAGAGGCAAAAAAGGACATTATATATTATTAAAAGGTTCAATATAAGAAGAAATGTAGCAATTAAAAATATTTACTCATATTGACAGACTAATACATATGAAGCAAAACCTTATAGAATTAAAGGGTGAAATAGTTCTACAATAATAATTTGATATTTCAGTACTGTACTCTAAATAATGGCTAGAACAAAGGAGAACTAAAGGAATAAGGAACTTCACACAGTAAGCCAAATAGATATAATTGATGTATAAAACCTGTACCCAACAATAGCATACACATTATTCTCAAGTGCACAATCATTTTCCAGCATTGTTGGATCACAGATAAGTCTCAGTAGATATTTTAAAAATAGTTTTTATGGGGCTGGAGGTTTAGCTCAGCGGCATAAGCGCCTGCCTTGCAAGCAGGCTGTCGTGAGTTCGATCCCCGGTACCGATAAAAAGGAAGAAGACCAAAAAAAAAAATAGTTTTTATACAAAATATTTTCTCCAACCATAATGGGATAAAGTTGTAAATCAATAAAAGGTAAAACTGGGAAATTTGCACATTTATGGAAATTAGTATACTCCAAAACAACCAGTGTATAAATGAAGACATTATACTAAGTGGAATAAACTAGTCACAAATCATACAGAGAGGTGGTTGCCAGAGTCAGATGCAGGAGAGAAATGGGGAATAATTACGTAACGAGTGCAGAGTTTCTGTTTTGTGAAGAGAAAAGAATTACGGAGATGGATGGTGGTAGTGGTTGCACAATATCATGAATGTTTTTAACACCATTGAACTGTACAATTTACACATTCTATCAAGAGAACCTGGGAGGGGCTGGGGATTTAGCTCAGTGGCTTAAGTGCCTGCCTGGTAAGTGCAAGGTCATGAGTTCGATCCCTAGTACCAAAAAAAAAAAAAAAAAAAGAGCCTGGGGTTTTGAGATTTATGTGTGCTCTTAAAGGTAGTAAAAAGCAACTTAATAATTTCAAGAGTATTAGAAAAATAAACAAGGTAGGCAAACAAAGTGGGTTCTGGGTGAGGGAATTCTTGACCTACAAAGAGAGGTGTTTTATTTAGTGGCAAGAAGAAGTAGGAGATAATCTCAAGTAGATAATAGGGGCTGCAAAGACAGGCCTGACATTTCAGGGTCAGATTTAACTAACTTCACTTGGTTTCTTTTTAAACATAAAGCAGTGAACCTAAGTTCAGTTTTGTTTCCTACAAAGCCCTCATAGTAAAGGAGTAAATAAATATAGTGTAAACTTTCAAAGACAAAAATATCTAG